ACCACGTTCTGGAACTGTGGGAATGCTTTTTTTTTTTAAATGGGGTTGATTTTGTACTCAATCCGCTGTATACCCAAAACAAAAAATGCTTGTAACTTATACTATGTGGAGCTTTTTACCTCCATATAGTAAACATTTTTAAATTAAACTATTCGGAAACCTTCTTTCACTCAAAAGAAACCAAGAAAATAAGAAATAATATATCTTAATAGCCTTGAAAGCTTTTGCAAGATTTCGTATACCCTATCAGCTATGTATAGGCCATGCTGTCCTTTAAGTCTAGAGTATAAAAAGGACACATGCATGTCCCGTGGCAAATTGTTAATAGGACATAGCCATATGCTGTCGGCTGCCTCGACACTCATTTTATGGGCTCCACTATACAGCACAACAACAAAATAAGAGACAGCATGGCTGAGAGAAGGAGAGAGAATGTATGTAAGTATAGTATATTTCATCTGTAAGTATTGGGACCTTCATGAAATGCCGAGGCCATTGCTTATTATTGTCAGACGGATGAGCAATGTCGCTGGCCCCGGCGTCTCTTAATCCTCATGAATTTCGGGGCCTGTCGTGCGGCATCTTGCGCATATCAATGCCCTCTACACCCCATAGCAATGGCCAAGTTGTTAAAGGGACATTTTGCCTTGCTAATAATAAATAAGAGTATTGTATAGGTATATTTGTATATGTGTATGATGTACGCGCACAGATACACAGACACACATACATATATACAGATGCCAGCATAGGGCGGCGAGTTTTTGGCCCCTCGGCATTCAAGGGCCAAGCCGGGACCATAAACCAATCAAAATATAATTCAATGAATTTTTATTGGCAAATTATGTTAGTGATTCGACTGCGTAAATGAAACTGTTGTCGAGGATGTGGGCGGTGGTTATCTGATGTGATATATACTAGTATTTATAAACCTATTTACTCGCATGCCTATGAAACGAATGGATGCTCTCTAACTCTTAAAACTGAACTTAATCCATTTGGAAATTATTTTAAATAGCCTTCTCCACACATTGGTTGATATAAGCGTTGCAGCTAGAGTTGGAGTTCTCCCATAGTTAGTGCTAGCAATTAAATTTTTGAAGCTGTTGACAGACAGTCTGTTGAATCCACAATAACAATAAACACACACTCCCTCACACCGAAGCAGTACAAGAATATTATTAACAAAATCGCACACACTATGCCCCAAAACAACAAATGCAACAACAACTAGAACAGGCTTAGACTATGCATATATTCGTAATACTCTTCTCCCTGAAGAATATTTGTTGGGCAAAAACTTTGACGGTGACGGCGGCAGCTAAATTTTTGCCACAAAACAGCCACAGTAACAGCAACATGGCGTTGGCAACTTTGTTAACATTTTGTTGACTCTCTCTCTCTCTCTCTCTGTCCGCCTGTCCGTCCGTCCATTTGCCCATTCTTTCGTACCTACATATATCCAAGTATTCGTTGCCATCTCTCACTATTCACTCACTTGCAAAACTCGCTTGTCACATATTTTTCGTCAACTTGGGCAACAACAACTATAGTCTCGTGCAAATTAATTTTGCCGCCACATGCAAGCTTGCTTCGCCCGTCCACCATCCACCATCCACCATCCACGGTTCCCCGTTGCCCGTCCTGCACCACCCAACCACCACAATCTACATACCTACCACGTAACGTATACGCCGCGTTGTCTTGAGCACATGAATTAAAAGTGCAGCTTTTCTTTCAGACAGCGGGCAGGCTGGATGGCTGGCTTGCTGGCTGACTGGCTGGCTGACTGGCTGTTGATGTCGACGCTGTTTATGTCGCGTGCTTGCTTTGACATAAGCCACCCCTCTATATCTGTACCCTATCCTAGCACCCCCATTTCCCCAACACCCCCACACACCCCCCATGCAGCAAACTTTGGCGCATATTTGTTTAGAACTGTCTGAAATAAATCATATGCAGCACACATACCTTTAGGCATGTTACTCATGTCGTTGTTGTTGTCGCTTTTCGCTTGCGTTGTTATTGTTGTAGCTGGCATGCCAGAAATTTGCATGAGGCTTGTGCCTGGTTTATTAGCACGTTTGAGTGCAATGCCGCCTCAAATGGGAAAAGTTCGACTTAATTAGTGCGCCAACTTCTAGCGAGTCGAAGTTTTGGAGCGACGCGAATTTGCTCTATAAATACAAATCAAAATTTTCACACACACACTGACACACATCTACATACACCCACCTACACACATACAACAGCACAATGACAACAATAACAAATGCCAATGATAAGAAACAACAATGAGAACGGGAGCAGGAACAGGAAGAGGTACAGAAATAGCAATAGCATTGGCAGTGGCAATGGAAAAGTAATACGAATAGTATTCGTACATACCAACAACACAGCCAATACTGAGCTGAACAAAGTGTAAATAGCGGTAAAGTTATATGCAGGCGATGTCAACGTGACTAGATGGCATGAAAAGTTAAAAGCACTGAAAGAAAAATCCACATAATTGAAGCCTGTCGAATCAGCTTAAAGTGAAATGAGCAAATTACATGAAAAACAAAGCATTTTCATATGTATATTTTTATAAGCTAGTTTAAAGTGAGAATTGTTTATTAAATAACAAGATATTAGGCAACATGTAAAATACGTTTGCTCTTTTTATTTTATATTTTATTTAATTATATTATCTAAAATTGAAAATTGTTCAGTAGTCCGTTACATTTTCGTTCTTGCCAAAATATGACTACTATAACTAATATTTTTTTAATATTCTGTTTTTTGTTTTTGTTGTTTGTAAATTAATTTGATAAATCTATTAAATATTTCCTCCTTTCCACATCACCAAAGAGGTAGAGGATTGAGTGCCATTTTTTTTGATTTGATATCCCCTTTTTCACGGTTCATTTTAATATAAAGAGTACTACATCTGTCAATATTCTTGTACTAACTGCTTTGTCAAACAGAAACCTTTAAAAGAACTTTAAACTTGCAATTATTTATTTTTGTTGTAAGACTTCTTTATAAACAACATTTGCAGACTTTCCCCCAGGTGCGCGAATCATTAAGCTGCTAGCAGAACTAACTCCTGCACAGGCCAAATAAAACTGTCCATGAGAGAAGTTTTCCCCCTTTTGGAGCTCGAATTTTCCAAAACCCCTTCTAAGTACGCACCTTCACTATGATGGGAAACTTGAGCCCAGATTTCAGCATTTTACCTCTTGCGGTTTAGACTGTTGACACGGTTTCCTTTTGTGCCTCATGAAAACCCTAATAATTCAGTCTCCAAGGCGGAGTATGCAGTTTTGTTTGCATTGCAACGATGCTCTGGAGCGGGTATACTCGCCGGTCAGAGTGTGCTGAAATTTAATTAATGGGCACCCCAAAAATTAATTAATGCGATTTTCCAAAAATATATACTTTAATTAAACCACATGGCCTTTCACTCCACGTCCACTCTTGACCCCCTCCCGACTTAGACTCCCCCAACTAGCTTGGCCTCCCACCCTTTTCTTACCACTACTTTCACACTTTTAAACCGTGTATGCTAAACATATAAACAAGACTTACAACTACACTTATGAACTACACCATTCACTCGTAACGACGCCAAAGCTTGATGCTGCGGCACGCAGGGCGACGTTACCGTATTCTTTTATTGATTTTAGAAACTAAGTTTTAAGTTAATCGGTTAAAAAATTAGGGTTTTTTTCACCAAACAGTGGAGCCTGTTTCTCCCCTCTTTGGAGCTCGAAGTTTCAAAACCCCTTGTTAGTGGGCACCTACACTATGAAAAGATAGTTGAGTCCAAGTTTCAGTTTCCTAGCTCTTTACCGTTTGGAATGTATGTTGATCACTAATTAAAAGAGTATATACTAATTTTAAATTCACATTAGTGACATTTCGTGCCTTATTGAGTCAATAAGACCACGCACGATCTCGAGATATGAAACACTCTCAATGTCAAGCAGCGATGTGCCGTTATTCGGTTTCTGCTTTACTATCGCTTACTCAACGTTGCCTAGCGACGGTAACTGTAAACTTTTGGCATGTTACCTTTGCAATGAGAAGGCGTAGATGTCAGTGCAAGACGAATGAACATACATATACATGTATATGTAGGCATGTGTGTGTGTACAAACATTCACACATTAATGTCTGAAATTTTGCTTTGGTTTTTTCAATCGTTTGCACGCAACTACACGAGCTGCTGCTTTTGTGTGTGTGTGTTTATCTTAGTTGTCCTCAACTGTTTCATATGTATGTACATATGTGTGTATGTATGTATGTATTTTGTGTTGTTTGTTCTGGCTGCATTTGCAAAGCGAAAAACTTATTTCTAAGTATGTTTTGAAAATCGTTGAATGCCAAATTGTAGATCTATTTATGTTGATTATATGCTCCAAATTAGAAATCGATCTGACGATATGTTAAAAAAATGTTAAATTTTTATTAAATAAAGCACGATGCACGATTGGACTTTGAATGTTATATCATATTTCTTTAGAATCAGTACAAAACAATGCATGAAAAGTGTATATTTTTTATTCAGAATCATTTGCTACGAAAAGAATTAATTAATTAATGATTGATTGTTATTTCTATAGGGGAAAATCACAGAAGACAAAGAAGACAGAGAAATTGACAAATTCTAAATATAAGAGTAAACATTAATTATTGAGCTTTGCCGTCGAATCGATAATATATCGAATGGATAATATGTCGACCCATCTTCAAAATACAACACTGGCAGCAGTTCAGGCAATTGTGACAGAAAGTTATATGTAAGTGTAAAGTAAATTAAAAGGCGTAAGTAGCAACTGAAAAGCATTAAGATAGGCGGGTTTCCACTTAAGTGGTTTTAGCATCTTCTACTTAAGTGCTGAAATATCTATTAGCAACAAATTTCTGCTGGGCAGATTGTGTTATCCGTGGCTGTGGGTCAATAGTGTTGATAAAATATTTCTTTTATTGCCACTCTAGGCTTTACCCAGGCAGTTATGGAAGTAGAAGGAGAAACTGCACGAGTAAATCTGAACCGCGCCTTCGATCCTACCGCCTTCAGTCTGGACGCATCCTTTCGTCTAGTCCGCTACGCCGATCCCAAGGGTAGTACTTGCAAGGTGCCGCAAAAAGTGCTATTGAATCTGCTCTCAATACTGCACCCGGACACCTCTGCTAAGGATCAAGACGGGGAAGTCTCACATGTGGAAGGTCCACGCATTGGCATAGGTCTGGATTGTGCCGTCATCCCATTGAAATATGACGTATGCTTGGTGCAGACCACCGATCTCTGCTACCCCATCATTGACGACCCCTACATGATGGGAAAGATAGCATCTGCCAATGTGCTCAGTGATTTGTACGCAATGGGCGTGACCGAGTGCGACAATATGCTGATGTTGGTCGGCGTCAGCACCAAGATGAAGGAAAGGGAACGCGACGTTATAATGCCGCTAATCTACCGCGGTTTCAGCGACTCGGCCTTGGAGGCTGGCACCAATATTAGCGGGGGCCACACCACCATCAATCCTTGGTGCACCATTGGAGGTGTGGCATCGAGCGTTTGCCGCCGCAACGAGTTCATCGTGCCGGACAACGTTATGGTGGGCGATGTAATTGTGCTCACCAAGCCTGTGGGCACCCAGGTGGCTCTGGCCGCATACAACTGGATCGATAAGCCTAAGCTCTGGCGTCGCATCAAGAAGTTCATGTCCGAGGAGATGGTCCGCAAAACCTATTTCCAGGCCGTCAATTCGATGGCGCGTCTTAACCGTACCGCCGCGCGTCTCATGCACAAGTATAATGCCCACGGGGCCACCGATATTACCGGATTCGGTCTATTGGGTCACGCCCAAACCCTGGCTGCTCGCCAAAAGCAAGAAGTCGCTTTTGTCATTCACAATCTGCCAGTGTTTGGCCTATTGGCCGAGGTGGCCAAGTCCAGCAGAGGCGTCTTCGAACTGATAGAGGGTCTTTCACCCGAGACTTCCGGAGGCTTGCTCATCTGTCTGCCACGTGAGCAGGCGAACGCCTACTGCAAGGAGATACTGAAGGAGGAGGGACACCGTGCCTGGATCATTGGCTTTGTTGAGAGGGGCAATAGGACAGCACGCATTATTGGTAAGCCTCGCATCGTTGAGGTTCCCGCCCAGGATTAAGTGTGCATTGCTCTATACATTTTGTAAATTCACTTTATTGTCTATTTTTTTTTAAATTCCAGCAATACACAACCCCTAGTTAGTTATACACAATCTAGCTTTGTACGGGCGCTGCAATACTTTTTGTACAAATATATGGACAGTTTAGACGTAAATAATTGTATGGATTTGTTATCTAAAGCTGTGAGATTTAGGAAATCAGCCACCCTTTCAGCCAATCCATCGGAGGGAGCCGCTTCTGTTCAACAGTTTAAAGGAGACATTTCAAAAAAGATTGATCGCAAAAAGTGCTTATTTTTTATATCAGGTGAGAATAGCTATGAAATAAGGTAAATGCATGGGGGAAGGGTTAGTAAGTATTGGTGGAATTAAATATTTACCCTTAAAGTAAACGATGCAAGTTTTTTTCATGTTTTTTGTACTGTAATCGAGTGGCAATATAATTTATCTTGAATATATAACTAATCTATAGCAGCCATAGAAGTACTTTCTCACCCATGAATAGAATGGAAATACTTTCCCTGGAGATATTGGAGTCAGTGTATTATACGAGAAAAAGGAAAACAAAGCCCATTGCCACCAAAAATAAAACTAGTAAAGCCTTTTACCGTTTGGGTGCAGGGTATAACAAAAATACAATAATATTTTTTTAAATAAAATAAAATACAATGGCAAACATTTACATCCGTGTGTGTGTGTATATATAAATGTATGTGTGCTTTACAGCAAAAGCTGGTGGCAGAACTCAGGCAGATATCACATTTACTGTTATAACTTCCATCAATGTGTACCATTTCCAAGAATTGGGGACTAGTGAAAAATCCTATTAGCGGAAGAGTGGGGAAAGGCGAAACATTTTGAAATTTTCTTGTAATGCCTCTTGCTCGTATAGTCTCTGTGATCTAGGTGTTCGTACGGACAGACAAATAGCTCGGCTAAATCAACTGCGTTTGTAATGCTGATCAAGAATATGGGATCGGAAGTGCTTCCTTTTGCCTGTTACATTTTTTACTTTGCAAAACCGATTATACCCTTGCAACTTTATGGTACAGGGTATAAACATAACCAAAACGAAATAACTTCGTGTTGCTAAAGCTTTCGAACTACTCTGTCGAGTTCTGCAAACTATTGTAGTTGTTATTTCCAATGTTTATATTTGAATCAGAAAAGAGAAGATCGAGCTACATTCTTGCTAGGACCGAACTCTATGCGATATACGAGTACACTTTTTACTGTGTGGGGAATAAGTTTTAAGAAATGTCAAGAATTTCGGCGGGCAAGCCAACTCAAACAGGAACTTACAGGCGAGTCCGAACACATCAACACACACATGCAACAGAGCACTCGGAAAGCTGCGTTGGACAATCACATTGCAGGCGGAAGCGAAAATTGCTTAAAATGGCTGCAAATCGGAAGTGGCAAGGCAAACTCGTAGTCTATCTGTGTGTGTATGTGTGGCTTATAGTCTCACATACACACACACAGCACACACTCCCCCATAATGCCAATGCACTTGGCTAATGTGTAACGTTGTTTGCCTGAGCTGTTGTTGTTGGTGTTGTTGTCGACTACTGTCGTCGTTGCCTGCCCTCGGGCTGTGCGCCATTGTTGCATTATGCGGGCTCAGCCAAGCACAGGAGCAGCAACGACTTGCCGGAGCTGCTTCAACAGCATAGTTGCAACGTTAAAGAAATCAAATAAATAAACATTCATGTAGAAAAATGTTGCATACAGACACACACAAATAAGGCATCGTCCTCTTTGGTCTTTGCCCATTGTCGTCGCTTCCCTGGCTCAAAAAGTTTTGCCGCCAGGCAGTCGCTTTCAAATGTTTTATAGGTGATAGAAAAATATTTTGCGAACGTGATGAGAATTTATTTCATTTTGTTGCCATTGAGGCAGCATCAAAGATACTCGTACTACACCAAAAATAGACAACAACAACAACAACAGCAGCAGCAGCAGCATAATAAAGCAAGCAGGATCTACATCCTTGGCAGCGTGCATCGTTTTATTCTTAAATAAACTTACTGTAAATAATATGCCCGATATACGAGTATACTGTTAGTCGATTGCCGAATTGATGTTGATATGACAGCCGATGGGCGTAAGCTAAAAGTTTGTATGAAGTTGAAAGTGTAAGCTTACCGACCCACTTTTAGTGCCTCGTCCTAGGACTACAGTCTAGGATACTCCAGAGCTACTTCATTGATGCTAAGCTGAGTTCCTAAGTTTGGTTTGTTTTACTCCCCTTATTTAAATTCGAGTATACTTGTAGTTGTGCTCCATTGCTAACAAATTAATGTTCCGTGGCTGCCAATAGTTTCCTTGAATAGAGCTAAAATAGCTTCCGCTTATCGGAGTATTAAATAAAGAAAGCTGCACACTTTCTATTTTCAAATAAACAACCAATTGTTGCCTTATTTTCCACATGATCACCAATTGGTTCTCAACTTAACATCAATTATTGGCAACTTCAGAATTAGGAAACGTACAACTTGAAAATAAAAATAAAATCCGCCATTATTTGAAAAAGTTATGTTTAAAAGTATAGAATATATTACAAAAAGAATCATATAATTATCCCAGATATGCCCTCAATTGCTGCCAGACGGGTTCGACTCAATATATTACATTAGAATGAGCATTAAATTGGAATTAAGAAAAAAGGATCCTTCGTGCTGAATTGATTCATGCATTACATGCAATCGCGTATATTTTTGATTAGCAGTTCAATATTCCCCTTAATACTATATTTACCTGCGCAGAATATTATATATTTTCGAACTAAAATATAATAGCTTTTACCAACAAATTCTGTTTAATTTTTTGTATGGATAAGTAATATCAATTTCAGGATTTCATCCCATGGTAATTCAGTTAATTATTTAGCGTTAACTGAACAACTTGTATGGCACAAATTGGATTCAAGAGGTACATATCTCTTAAAATAGAGATACAATTGGCAGTGCTTCCCGTTTCGAAAATATGTGGAAACTGAAACACTATCTACAAGCCGGCAAAGAGAATTTATCTCATGTTCGTCGAAGAATCGCTTTTATTGATAACTAAACAACAACAATAACATTAGAAGGTGCGTGCAAATTCTATTTATTTATATGTATATTTCTCCGTTTACAGGACACAAATAAAGCGGAGGGAACTTTGTGTACAATTTTTTACATAATTGCAATCAACTAATTATAATGAGTGTGGAAATGTATTGCAATCGATTTCTTCCAGAAGTGTCATGAACTGTCCTACTGATATTGAAGATAAACAGTCTTTCAGTCGTAACGCTGTTGGCCAGATCTCTGGAGTCACATAAAGGACGCTGTCACAGTGGCAGACATCCACAGGGCCTACCAGCACGCTTTGGATTCCATGTCGCGCCTCAATCGCAATGCCGCTCGTCTCACGAAGAAGTACAAGACCCATGGAGCCACCGGCCTCACGCTCTTGAGTCAGGCCCAAACGCTGACCACTCTCCAGAAGCGCAACATTAACTTGCGACTGCGAAAAGGACGAATGTGGCCACAGCCTGTGGTAGCTTGCTCCCACTGCTGACCGGCAATATGGTCGAGACTACGGGAGGCTTGCTCGTCTGCTCCCTGAGGAGTAAAAAGCTCTGGAGGGCTGGTCTGGTCTGCCCAAAGGGGCATCAAGGCAGCCTGCGTTATCAATCAGCCTCACCTCATTGAGCTGCCCTGCCCATTCTGAGCTAGACAATGACACACATACATACATTCGTGTGTGTATATTTTAAATACATTTGTTTACTAGAAATTTGTTATCTCTATTGTAAGCTTTTTGTACAATATCACAAGCTTTACGATTAGCTTTAGCGTTCTTGAATTTATTGTGAGCATTAATAATGTAAACATTTTTGGGCTCTTCCTGTTTGTCTTATCAGCCATTCGAGTCTTCAGTTAGTATTGATTGCTCACGATGAGCGCACAAGCCGCATGCCTGTGTTTCATATTATTGGCAATCTGTGCACTGGCTTCGCAAAATCAAACCTCCTGGTCGGATTACTGCCGGGAGCTCGGAAGTGATGCAGCGGACTGTGATGCTGCCTTCAATTACTGGCAGGACCTACAAAAATACTTTTATGAGATTTGCTGCATCGAGGTGAAGCAAATGAATATTCAGAGCGGTTGTGAGAAATGCACACAGTCTGGAATAGACATGGCGAAACAGCAAATCGGTGGAGATACTACGCTTGTAGGCATTGTTCTAGGCTCTGCATGCCCCAAGTTACATACTGGGAAGTGCGTGCCAGTGCCCAAGGAGCCTGTAATTAAGGAGCCATCCGTGTGGAGTATTATGAAGTCTTGGTTTGGCATGTGATATTCTCGTACGTTGAACTGTAGAAACTAAATGGCAAATAAAAATATGTTATATTCGCTATATACTGCCTATTATATGTATGTGTTTTAAATCACTGAAGCTCTGCTTATCAGTGATTCAAAGTTGATCTTTGAATTATAGTAGTCTGTTGCTCTCCCGTACGTTCACCGCATAGAAGCATACTCTTACTACACTCTGAATGGTTGATGCCATTCAAAGACCCGAACAGTGGCAAAGATTGCACAGACTTGGACTGACACATTGAAGAACTTAACAAACCGTAAGAAATGGACATTAAACAGAATGTGAACAATGTTCTTGTCCTTATGTGCATGTGCGTGTCTGTATGTTTCCATGTGGGTATCTGTGGCTTTCTTTGATTGTACTGGTGCGTGCTGTTGCCTTTTCTCTTGCTTTATTTCTTTTTTTTTTTAGTTTGCTGCGAAGGTCGCTATCAGGTCAACGGGCATCGTCTTGAGTCCTGCATGCTGCGTGCTGGCTGTCGCATCCGTCCTGTGTCCCATGTCCTCTGTGTCGAGGTCGCATCACAAAGCAATTCAAATAAAAAGCATAGCATAGCAAAAGCAAAACTTCTGCCAGCATTGAACCTTTACAAATTGAAACGCTGATCCTTTTGGGGATGCGCCAGTCAAGAAGACGAAGACGACGACAAATTTTTGACACTTGTGGACCGCACTCTTAAACACGCACACACACACACACACACACACATGCTTATGATTGTTATGAGTGGGTGGTGTCCGGGGCATGTTGACTTTTTGTTATTTGTTCGCTTGTTAAGTTT